CAAGACGCAGCAATGCATGAGCCAACATGCCAATCGCCAGCATCTTCCTTGCCCATTCCGCGCCGGCGATCTCGTTTGGGTCTCTGCCGCAGAATTCAGGTTGGAACAAGATATTTCTCGGAAGCTCCTCCCGAAATGGATGGGGCCTTGGTTGATCGTGGCACCCGCCCGGGATGCACCCGAAGGACTTTCCTTCACCATTCAGGTGCCCCGCCCACTTGCCCGTCTACCTGGTCTTTCATTGCTCCAAGTTGGCTATTTACACGCCAGTGGAACATGACGATTTTCTCGGACGACGATCGCAAGACCCACCCTCTATGGACGGGAATTGCTCCAAGTTGGCTCTTTACACGCCAGTGGAACATGACGATTTTCTAGGACGACGATCGCAAGACCCACCCTCTATGGACGGTTTTCAAGAGGTCGGCAACATCATCTCCTAGCGACGCTACCGCAACAGGCCAATCGAGTACTTGGTACACCCTCTCATTATCTGACTTCACTACATCAACAGACTATGAGAGAGAGAGAGAGAGAGAGAGAGAGAGAGAGAGCTTGGTGACATTTGGATCCAGACTCGACATTGGACTTCAGACGTTTTGACGAGGGATTATTTGGGACTTGTAACGAGATTTGGTGTTGACGACTTCCGATCTCTCCGCTCCTCTTCGTCTGATCCCCTCCTCTTCTTCTGTGCATGTCTGGACCTGGCGCCTCTTCCTGTGTATAGCTCTAGGCCCCTTCACACCGTGTGGTCAGAATGATGTATGTTTAGTCTGCATTGCGACATAGATTGGGCTCGTCATTAGTATTCTAGCCTTCTGCTTCGCTATTTGTACTACGTGAAAGGGGTCAGTCCGGTCAGGTCAGGACTTGTATTTTAATCTTCCACTTCGCTATCAAACACCATTGTTGTATGTATCAGGATGTACACTGCTTGTTGAGATTTCACTAGCACTGCTGTGGCATACTGCGTAGCCACACGGGCCCTACAGGGCCCGTCCCAGACAGTCAGCCTAAAAGCCTAAAACTTAGGGCTTACAGGCCCCGGAGAC